ATCAATTTGAAGACCCAGACATAATTACAGACATATATGCATAGCTTATCTTTGCCAAAGAAACCCAAAACATTCACTGGAAAACAAGACAGTATTTTCAACAAATGGTTTGATCAAACTGGATGGCTGCATGTAGAAGAATGCAAGCTTCATACTTATCAATTTCAACAAACTCAAAATGAGTATAATCCCTAAGTGCATTCTAAATATCTAAATGTTCTCCTTATAGATTCATAGAAATGTAGCTCTCACACATGAAGAGAAAAATACATTCATTGATTAGCATCAAACAAATGCAAATAAAAACCGGAAAACAAAAAAATAGAGAGAAAAGATGATTATGAGGTATCCAAGCCTAGCTGATCTTTAACAGCAGAATTCCCGCATCTAAGGCACAGGCAATATTATGGAAGAAGGGAAAGAAAGATTCTACTAACAAGAGGAGGAAGTTTGTTGTGAGATGGCATCTGCTAGAAATGTCAATATAAAATTATGTAAATGTATACAACATTATACACACTAATCTAATTATATTCATAAAATTAGGAAAATATATAGATATTTAAAGGTAATTGAAAATAAAGATGAATTTGAGAGAAGAAAATGGCTGTATATGAGAGCCTGAGAAGAGTAAGAAGAGAAAATGGTTTAGTTATAATGTATTTGAAAAAATTTATTAATAAAAGTTTTAAGTTTAGAAATGTAGAATAATATAGAAGAAAAAGCCTAACAATATAATAAAATGTTGCAGGTACTAAACATTACATATGCATACTCTACTGCTAGGATTTCTGTGGCCAGTAGTCAGTCCAGTTTCACCTGTTCCCAGTTCTTTGCAGTGTTTTTACAGCTTCTTGGCCTCTGACAGAATCTTCTAGAATTCCATCATCAGAATATTGATGTTTCTTGTCTATGTTCATTGTTGAGAATAGTATATGTCCTACTGAAATAAAGAACAATTGCTGAAGAGTCAGGAAAGTGCCTGGTAAAATAAAAATGTCTGAAAATATGCAAAACTATGTTGTCAAATTGTACATATTAAACATACTCAGATATCTCCATGTCAACCATTCAACAATGAAGTGAAACAAGACATAAAAATATATTTCTGGTGCTCTTGGTAAAGAATGGTGAGTGTACAGGGCTAGAGAAATCACTTATCCATTAAGAGTGTGTTCTGAACTTGCAGAGGACCCAAC